ACATATAGCCTTTCTTGCATGTAGTTTACAATTGATGGGAAGATAGCTTAAATCAGTGATCAAAGGGTTAAGGGCGTCGGATATGTATGTATGCAAGGGAACATGGCTGAAGTTCTCACTTAATACAGAGAGACAGGGTGACTTTACTGTGTATGTGATAAGCAATATCTCTTACATACAAGGATGAAACAGATGAAGAGGAAACAGAAGGGAGGAAGTGGTAGGTGAGTGGAGGAGAAACTCTAAAATGTGTGAGGTGAAGAGTTTTAACCCCAGCATTGATGAAGAAAGAAATGCAATTGGAACGTGTGAAACTGTATGGGAATATACCATTGGCATGTGTGAGATAACAAAACAACCTTTGTGCCCCTGACAGGAGCTTTGTCCTTATCCTCAGAGCAACAGTGGGAATATGGAGAATGATTCAGACAAGAGATAATGGAACTCCTCTGTTAGGATGCCACAGTGTAAATGAAACAGGTTGAAGAAGAAGAGAAGGGTCAGGAGATGTGAGAACCTGGACTGGACTGAGTCTGCTTCTGTATTCCAGTAAAGACAAGATGTGATCCTGATGTATGAATGTAACCTCACAGAAAGAGATGGATGGAATAGGAGGAGAATAAACAGCAGACTGTTTATGTGTGACATCAGTTCAAGGTAAGAAAAATGGACGGATCAAAATTCACAGATTTCTGACTCAGACACGAATTTCTTTTACTATACTATGGGATACTGGAGAGATAGGAGACGGAGAAACACTTTGGGACACAACACAGTGAAGACATGAATTTCACTTGAGATTTTTGAGCTCCTGATGCCTGTGATACATACAATGGGAAGAAGATGATTAGTGAACAGTGGAGTAGAAATGTGTATGTTACAGAGACATGCATGTTGGAATTTTAAATGATAATGTAAGACATTGAAGTATGTGAGGTTTTCTTGAAAATTATATAAAATTATGATGCCAAAGCTTATCCAAACTCTTCAAGAATATAAATATCCAACATAAGAAAGAGAAAATCACAAATGGACAAACAATAGTTGAGCGGGCAATAGGAGAGGGAAGCCGTCCATTTTTTAAATCTCAGTAGAAAAGTATAGAACTGTTTATGTTAGGACAGAAAGATGTTAAAGAGAAATTGAGAAAATCATTAATAATTGAATGATTACAGGATTTTGGAGTATGAGATTATAATTACTATGATGATTATAAGATCCATTGTGTAGAAAGAATATATTTCAATGGGTTCCTGATAATTTCTCATTTAGGATACTGGAGACAAAAAATGATAATGAGCAACCAAACTGTCATCTCCAAGTTCCTCCTCCTGGGCCTACCTATTCCCTCAGAGCACCAGCACTTGTTCTGTGCCCTGTTCCTGGCCATGTACCTTACCACCGTCCTGGGAAACCTCCTCCTCATCATCCTCATTCTACTGGATTTCCATCTCCACACTCCCATGTACCAGTTTCTCAGCAATTTATCATTCTCTGACCTCTGCTTCTCCTCTGTCACAATGCCCAAATTGCTAGAGAACATGCAGAGTCAGGACCCATCCATCTCCTATGTGGGTTGTCTGACACAAATGTACCTTTTAATGGTTTTTGCAGACATGGAGAACTTCCTTATTCTGGTCATGGCCTATGACCGCTATGTAGCCATCTGTTACCCCCTTCATTACATCAGCATCATGAACCCCAAGCTCTGTGTGTGTCTGGTAGTGCTGTCTTGGGTATTTACCATGCTTTATTCCCTGTTTCACACTCTGCTCTTGGCTAGATTGTCATTCTGTGGGGACAACGTGATACCCCACTTCTTCTGTGACATATCTGCCTTGTTCAAGTTGGCCTGCTCTGACACATATATTAATGAACTATTGATAATTGTCTTGGGAGGGCTCATTATTGGCATCCCGTTCTTACTCATTGTTGTGTCCTATGTACGAATTGTTGGCTCTATCCTAAAGGTTTCGTCTGCTCGGGTTATCCACAAGGTCTTCTCCACCTGTGGCTCCCACCTCTCTGTGGTCTCACTGTTCTATGGGACAATTATTGGGCTATACTTATGTCCAACAGGTAATAGCTCTACTGTGAAGTAGACTGCCATGGCCATGATGTATACAGTGGTGGCTCCCATGCTGAATCCCTTCATCTACAGCCTGAGGAACAGAGATATGAAAGATGCCCTGAGAAGGGTCCTTTGCAAGAAGAAAATCTCTTTATAAGGCAACACCGGGACTTTTACTTATATTTATCTAGTAAATATATTGATATTAATATTACAGAATGTATCCCTACAATAGGACCCACATTCAAGAACATACTGCATAATATTTCCTTTTGCAAAATGCTGTTTTTCAAAGTAGTTCAGTTAGGTATTGGGACCTTAGGGACTCAATGATGCCACCCCTGCCTTGTATGTGTGATTCTAGAAAAGCATTAGTAAGAGCCACTCTTTTATCAGGTCTCCACTCCTACATTCCTTTTTAAAGTTGAAAATAGGTTCTTCTCTCATATAATGCATCCCAACCACCATTTCCCCTCCCTCTGCCCCTCATAGCTTATAGCTCCCTTTCTTCCTAATCTGCTCCTTCTCCATTTCCTCTTCATAAGAAAGCAGGCCTCCAAGAGAAGACAGTGACATGTGACAAAACAAGATACAATAATACAAGGCAAAAGCTCTCATATCGAGGCTGGAGAAGGCAATTCAGTAAGAGGAATGGAGTCTGAAAAGCAGGCAAAAGACTTAGAGATATGTCTGCTCCCAAGATAACAGCCCTAACATATACTCAGAGGACCTGGTACAGACCAATTCAGGCTCTGTGCTTGCCATTTCAATCTCTGTGAGCCCATGTGAGCCCTGCTTAGTTGATTCAGCAGGCCTTGTTTTTTTGGGGTCCTCCAACCCCACTGACTCTTACAATATTCCTTCCCCCTCTCTCATGGGGTTCCCAGAACTTTGAGGAGAGGGACCCGATGGAGACCTCCAATTTAGACTCTCTCTCTGCATAATGTCTTACTATGGTTCTCTGCACATGCTCCCATCTGCTGCCTGAGGAAACCTCTCTCAAGGAAATAATCTATGTGTATAGCAGAATATCATTAGAAAGCATTGGTTTTTGTTTTTGTTTCTTTTTTTGGGGGGGGGCAGGTGTTTGGTTCTACCCCAGGCCTCTGGGCTATCCAGTATTCCATTACTGGCCATCCAGACAGTGTAGGGTATGGACTCCATTTCATGGAGTGGACTTCAAGTTGACCAACCACTGGTTGGCCACTCCCACAAGTTCTGTACTTCCATTGCCTCAGCTCATCTTGTAGGCAGGACAGGTGGATGGTTTTGTGACTGGGTTCCTATCAACATTTCCCTTTTTGTAGCCTGCTGAGTACCTTCCCATGACAAAGAGACAAGAATGTAGGCGTGAAGGTCCCAAACCCAAATCAGCTTGACCTCTTTAATTCAATGAGACCTGTGAATGTTGCCCTCAGCTGTGGGACCCCACTGTCAGTGGTCAGAGAGCTAACTTGTCTCAGAATCAGGCTGGGTTGTGTAGAGATTACCAGGACATCCTTGTCCAATAGCTCAACTGAATATAACCCAGTCCCACCACTGGAAGCCTTGCCTGGCTACAAAAGATGGCCTGTTAAGATTCTGCATTCTCCAGTACTGAGAGTCCTTACTAGGGCCAACCTCAAAGATTACTGAAAGTTTCCACTGAAACTAGGCTTCCACATTGCCCCCTCCCAAGTGCCCCTAATTCCAGCTGTCTGTCCCAGCACCTCCTCCTCCTCCATCCATCCCACATCCCTTTGGTTCCTAACCCCACCCACCACAGTCTACCTGCAGAATCCAGTCTATTTCCTGCTCCAAGGGAGATCCATGCCCCACCATCAAAGCCCTTCTCTTTACCTCACTTCTCTGAGTTCTTGGATTGTAGCTTGACTATCATTTACTTAACAGCTGACATCCACTCATAAGTGAATACATAGAATATTTATCTTTCCGGATCTGGGTTATCTCACCCAGGATGACTTTTTCCAGTTGCATTCATTTGTATGAAAAATTTATATCATTTTTTTAAATATCTGAGTAATACTCTATTGTGTAAATGTACCTCCTTTTCATTATCCATTCTTCAGTTTAGGGACATCTAAGTTGTTCCCAATTCCTGGTTATTATGAATAAAACCACAATGAACACAGTTGAGCGAGTTTACTTGTGGTAAGATGGATCATCCTTTGGTTATATGCCCGAGAATGGTATACCTGGGTCTTGAGATAGATTGATTGCCCATTTCCCAAGATTTTATTATTTTATCCAAATTTATGTGTTGACTGGCAGATAATATTTAATTATGAATAAGTGATATATCATGATCCTAGGCAGGTGCTCCATAGCATCCCAATATCTCAAACCCAACCATTTCCTAATGTCTCCTTCTGTTATTCCTACACAAATTTTTATATCACTCCATCTCTTAAGCTTCCTTTTTCTTTTTATTTATAGGTTGACTATCTGGACTGTCCTGACCCTGAAAAAAATTTTGTGATCTTCTTGCCTAATTGTGTCATTAGTGCCATTTTCCCCCTGAAATTATTGGCCAGAGCAATTTCAAGTTTATTTCCCCAAAACCATGAAAAGAAGCTGGATTAGAACCAAATTAATTTTTAACATCACCTCCAACTTTATAATTGCCTGCAAAATCCCCTGAATTTTGATATTTTATATTGAAATCTAGGCTGTTCAACTACTGTCATGTCACATTAACTGTTATATGCTCTAGTGTGCTATGAACTAGGTCCCTACCTTGACCCATTCATTCCATCCATTCCCTCTAAGCTATGGTGTAAATTCTCTTCCTCTATTCTAGATCCCATTCACTTTCTCATCTTCATGTGAAGACCATCTTCTCCAAAACCCTCTGCTGTTCTTCCTGTCTCTCAAGTGTACATCTTCATGTAAGGCTCTGTTAGCGTGTCTGACTTAACACACATGAACTTGAGTGCTAAGTTCTATTACATCTTCTCTGTGTCCTTTCATATTTGATTTATGATAACATTTCCTACCCAGTTACCTGAGTAACCTCTTCTTTATGTGCATAACTATCCACAAACATAGACAGTTATCCATACAACATTTATGTTGTGCCTTTCCACTGAATATTCTTACTGGAGTATTATTCTCTATGTGGTTGTAAAGATCTCACCAGGTCTTATCATAGATAAACTGAAATCTCAGTGGTATGGTACAACAGAATTATCAGCGATAAAGGAGAACATATACAAATTAAATAACTTTCCTCTACATGAGAAAAACTTAATTTTGGAACATGTAATAGGACATATAATAAATGACAACGAAAACTGTATCAAGACTGGAGATTCATACTAGAGAAAAAGACAATCTCTTCAACAAATAGTGCTGGGAATATTGGATATCCACATGTAGAAGATTGAGATTAGATCATTCTTTCTACTTTGTGTGAAATCAATACATTTCACATGCATAAAAACAGGCATATTGACCAGTGGGATCACATTGAAGACACAGTTCATACACATGTGGACACTTGATTTCTTACAAGGAAGTAAAAAATACACACTGTTGAAAAGACAGCATCTTCAAAAATACCCCAAGGCTCAGGGATCTGCTTGAAAGACAAGGTGAAAGATTGTAAGAGTCATAGTTGATGGGTGAAAAGGAAACAGTGCCTTCTAGACACAACAGGATTGTTGCACATATGAGGTGGCAGCATGCACAGGCCCTGAACAAGTTCAAGCCAAATGTGGTGTCAGCACTGAGAGAAGGAACTGTCTCCCCCCATAACTAAGAAGATATGTGAAATTGATTTCATGAGGTCCCATTTTCAGCTGTTATCATTAACTCCTGAGCTAATGGAGTTCTATTCAGGAAATTTTTGCCTGTATTTATATGCTGTTACATTAAGAAATTTGAAATTTGCAGATAAATAGATGGGATTGGAGAAATTACAATAAGGTAAAGCAGATTCAGAAAATAAGTACTGCATGATCTCTCTTATATAGAGAGCCTTGCTTCAAATCTTTAGATTGGTATGTTTAACTCATATTACCTATAGAAGCTCAGAACGTAGAAAATGACCATGGGTATGGGGAAGAAACTTAATGGAGGATTATGGTAAAACACAGGTAGTAGAAAGAGGGAAAGGTATTAATGGAGAGGCTTTAACTGTAGAAAGGGTTCAAATTATAAACCAGTGGGCTGTGTGGAGAGAGGGATAACTAACACTAAGGATGTAGGAAAATATGGCGAGTTATATTTTTAAGCTTCCTAATATATACAAATATAACATATTTATATATTTTTATGATATATGTAGGAAAGACAGAATGATTGGAATTACCCAACACATGAGGATAATGCTACTCCCAGAAAGCATAAACCATTAGACTAAAAATCCACATGGGATACCTTCCTTCTAGTTGTTGATCACAGAGACTCTCCAAAACAGATTATTCTTATTACTCTTGTTTTCCCACCAAAATTTGATTCTAAAACCTTATGGCTGAAGATGCTATATGACCCGGTCACAGAAAATAGAGAAATAAAACTTATTTTATTTCTTATTATAGAGAAATAATTACTTATTCTCTATATCATGGCAATTGTAAGTCTCTATATAAACCTCTGTCCATTGAAAAAAAGAAATGTCTGTGTTAAGGATTGAGAGCTGCACTAATCTATGAGTATAATGTTAAGTATTTATGACACATTTTGATACTATGTCCATTTAGCAAAATAATAGTAGTATGTTCTGACCTGCGCCTATAATTCAACAGCATGGGTTCTTGGTCAGGATTACAGTACTGCACATATGTTCCTTCCCATTCAGTGGGCCTTAAACGCAAGCAAAAAGCTATTGGTTACTTCCATTGGTTACCTTCTGGCCACTAGTGCACCAATGCCATATCTTACCAGGTGCATCATTATTGTAGCTTTCAGGTTTCATAGCTGGGTAAGACATGTATTACTTTTCTTCCCCAATAGCCAACTTGTCACCTTTTGACACTGTGAAAACTAGCCCACATGGAGGTATCTTCCAGGTCAGAACCAGCACTGAGA